ACTGTAGATGGCAGTATGCGTGACTTCATCTGAAAGATGCTGACGCCGGAAAGGCCTTGGTTCCAAAAGGCAGACAACCAAAAATTTGCGTGGTCGTGATGTTGAACAAAAAATCAAGAGACTGAGAAGGAGTAAAGAGTGAAGGAGAGGCCATCAACCTTATACATATTCCTCCAGAAAGGGAAGAATCGTTGGTTCGATTGTGCATGAACCGTAACCAACCAGTGGAAGTATAGACCATTTATAAAATAGTGACGCAGATTTGACTACGGTCTTTGCCCCGTACGAGCCACCTTTACGCTCAGCTGTCACTTCCAGTCTCTAAAACTATCAGACTAAGCAGAAAAACCATACAAGTACGGATGAAAACCAAGAAAGTACGGTTGCCGGGTGCGTGCGATTGTCACGATTCGAATGCCCTGTAGATACCTATATGTAGAACGCAACTACTGCGATGTAAAGTCAAGAAAAACCCGTTCTCAGTTTTCAAAAAAGACCAAAATGAAAAGCAACGATTTATCTAGTTTCCAGCAAACTCAGCGTGAGAACTTTCTGCTCCCCTAAACTCGTAGCGTCCTTTAGATATTTGTGATTGGAGCAGGTTTTGCCAGTATTTCTTTCGTTCGAGATTATCGCACGCCTGCACTAGAGTTAATAGCGAAAATTTCGCTGAACAATCTCAACATTAAAACTTCTCCCACCATTCACTACTCACAATAATTTCAGATATCTACTTAATTTTGACAAATCGCGTTGGATGAGAAAAGATCGAAATTTTGAATAAGTCATAGTCTTCAAGACCATGTCGTCTGATCACGTTGACAGTCTGACGGACGCTTCCAACTTCTTTTACGTAAGTTCATATAAAGTTATTTAGCTACTTGATTACCTCTCTAGCTTATAGATTTTACCATTGCAAGCTTTACATGGTCCCGTGGAACTTGTGATGCCGACTCATGGTCGTGATATTGCATTTCGCACTAGTGGCAAAAAAGTGAGAGCTGGCCTAATCGAATATTATTCGTATTGACTTCCGAAAACATCAAGTTTTTTGCTGTTTTCAGAGTCGAGGTTGTGTGGTGATGTTGTTATACACTGCTTCTGGCGAGAAGAGTAGCATAGAGATCCCATTTGTGCACATCGAGAGCTTTGCGGTTGGTTTTCACGGTCAATTTCGGTTTCGAAAATATTTGTTGCAATGTAATTTGACTAATTAGTTCATCTGAATATAATTTCTGGATAAAAAATAATTTTATCTTGCTGTGGGACGGGCTTTCTGTACCTTTACGCGCATATAATATTGAGCATTGGGACTTAACTACTTTCTGTGCACGAACTCGAGAAGAACCGGAAAGTTCGACTTTCTATGAATCTCGGCATGTTGATTA